ATTATATATATATATATATATATATATATATATATATATATATATATATATATCCTCCTTTATTTTCCTCATATCACTACTATTTAAAGTGATGTGTTTACTTGTTTATTGTGTATTTCCTCCATCTTCATATAAGCTTCATGAAGACAGACTTTGTCTGCCGTACCCTCAACATGTAAAATAAAGGAGACCAAGGTACAAACATGTAACTTGTCCCACAGCTCCTTAACTTTAGTTCACTCTTTCCATCTCAAATATTTAGATTCTTAGCATGTTATTTTCCCATGAACTACAAAATACAAAATTATAATAAAGACTACTCCTCGTTAGTACAGTGGTGAGTAAAAAAAAAACAGAAAAATGATAAAGATCACTAGCATTATTAAATAAAAAGAAAATTCTAATCATTCAAAAAATTAAATCTTTAAGTTAATCCAAATTAACAGTCATAAATTGCTTTGTGACCTCACTAGAAAAAAATATCTCTTATTTTCAGAGAAATAAGGTTCCTCTCAACCACATGCTGACCAAACTAAAACAAATACAATAGGAAAAGGCACCAGAAGGAAAACACATCATGTGATGTAGCTTTGTTTTTTTTAAATGAGATTATGTACTTTTTTCTTTTCTCTAGTTTATTAACTTATTTTAATATGGTTTTACAACTCTTGTAATTTGTATTATTTTTCATTGAAAAACAGAAACAAGCTGGGTACAGTAGTGCACACCTGAAATCCAAGCCACTTTGGGAGGTGGAGCAAGAAGATTGCCTGAGTCCAGGGGTTCGAGACCAGCCTGGGTAACTTGGCGAGACCTCATGAAAAATATCAGCCAGGTGAGGTGGCACATGCCTGTGGTTCCAGCTACTTGGAAGGCTGAGGCAGAAGGATCACCTGAGTCCAGCAAGTCGAGGCTGCAGTGGTCATGAGCATGCCACTGCACCCCAGCCTGGGCGAGAGTTGAGATTGCAACTTTAAAAAAAAAAAAAAAAAAAAGGAAGAAAAGCAGAAACAAAACGTAAGCTACGAAATCAGTGCATTTACTGACCCTTTTTCAACATCTTCTTTTTTGTAGCAGGGGTAGATGAAGTAAGTGCACATGCAAATGCTGCATCCTCTTTAACCTTAGAAGACCCTGCTGAAGAAAAACCAAGTAATAATTAAAACATTTTAAAATTAACTGCCATGTTTAGGTACAAGTATTTTTCTAAGTATATGAAATGGAATATCACTTTCATACTATCTTAAGAGTTTATACTAATAAATAAAAATATTTGGTAGCCAAAACGGCCACCTCTGACACTAAGTGTATCTTTCCAGCAGAGAGAAGTGATGCTGTGATTCACGGTAAGACTTGAAGAGAAGCGAAAGCAGAAGCAGCCATATGGAAAGTGACTCAGATCTCAAGTGGAAGGAGAATTTTTTCAAGGAAACATGTTTGATTCCTAATGATGAAGCTGCCAAAGTTTCAGATCAGTCAAGTGGCGACCAGTTATTTTCCAAATGCAATACGATTGTTCAACTTATTAGGAATATGACCTGAATTAGGGAAAAACAAAGCATCTTTTAAAGAAAAAAAATACTATTTTATGTCTGTATAATAATGTAAACTATAACACTATTGTCAAGAAGGTATTCCCAAGCTAATTTTATAATTACTATTCATATATACATATATACATATATAAGGTTGCTATTGTTGTTTCTTTTCAAAAAAAAAAATTCTTTGTAGAGACGAGGTCTCACTATGTTGCCCAACCTGGTCTCAAAATCCTGGGCTCAAACAATCCTCCCACCTCTGCCTTCCAAAGTGCTGGGATTACAGGCAGGAGCCATTGTGCCTCATCACCATAAAAGGTTTTAGTAAATGAAGCCTTTTTATAAGTAATACAAATTATTTTCCTTTAAGGTTGGTTTAAATATTATTATCTCTTAGAGTTTAATTTGAAACTATTCATTCCATTATCTTCATTTAATTAAATACCTAAGGTAAGCTCCATGAAGAGTTCAAACATAAACATCAGCCAAGTTTAAGACCTACTACTAAAAGATTCTAAGCTAGAAAGATACAAATCAATGGGGTTTTACTTGAATAATTTTTAAGTGTAGATTATGAGCATGTAGTATACATATACCTTTTATCCTGCTTTTAGTCTCTGGCTGTACATTTTTCAGTTTGCCTAAAAACAACAACAAAATAAATGTAAAAATAGGCACAATAAAAGGTTAGAATATAGGACACATTATCAAATCAAATCTATTATATATTACCTTTCATTTTCTGTGGCAATGCACTTGCTTCAATTTCCTCTGAATCACTACTTTCAATGTATTGCATAGCAGTTTTTCTTCTAAAATTAAGTATACACAAAGAAAATTTTTTACCAATGCAAAATAAAATGGGATATAAAAACATGTTTAATAAATGCAATACAAAACCTTTGTCTTACCTGTTTATTTTTCAAAAACTTCTCAAAAGATTGTATTTGACAAATATAAGTCAAATCTGTCAAAAACAGTATGCTTTCCTAGTCAGATAGATGTATTTACTATATAAAATGTGGCGAAGTCTATTATAATTATTAAATTAGAAAAATTGAGTCATTATAAAAAAGTAATAATTTCCATACTAAATTGAATATTTGATATTTCAATTACAATATTCATATAGGCTGGGCGCAGTGGCTCATGCCTATAATCCTAGCACTTTAGGAAGCTGAGGTAAGAGGACTGCCTAAGCCTGTGGGTTCGAGACCAGCTTGGGTAAACTGGTGAGATCTCATCTTTAAAATAAATCAAAAAATTAGCCGGGTGCAGTGGTGTGTGTCTATAGTTCCGCTATTTGGAAGGCTGAAGCAAAAGGATCACTTGAGCCCAGGAGGTCGAGGCTGTGGTGGCCATGAGCATGCCACTGCACTCCAGCCTGGACAACAGAGTGAGACTTCAATTCAAAAAAAACAAACAAACAAATTATATAAAACTAAAACAAAGAAGAAGTAGCTCTTGGCCAGGCACAGTGGCTCACGCCTGCAATCACAGCACTTTGGGAGGAAGAGGCAAGAGGATTGCCTGAGTCTAGGGGTTTGAAACCAGTCTGGACAACTTGGTAAGACCTCATCTCTACAATAAATCAAAAATTAGCCAGGCATGGTGGCATACACCTGTGGTTCCAGCTACTTGGAAGGCTGAGGAGGAAGGATCGCCTGAGTCCAGCAGGTCGAGCCTGTGGTGGCCGTGAGCATGCCACTGCACTCCAGCCTGGGCGACAGAGTGAGACTCCAACTCAA